GATAGGCAATAGCACTTGTGGTGAGTGTCAGCGTAGTACAGATCATGAATCAATAAGCCTTCATCAATTAGAGACTGATATGATGGCGGGACATCCTCCAAACTTTTACACTCCGTAATCAGGGAAAGATGTGAAAGGAAACTCATAGCGTGAATCCATTAAAAACCATAGATTGGATATAAAGTATTGCACTCACATAAAATAAATGAAAGCATCCCAAAATATCCACAATAACCGTTAAGGGTATCTGCATATCACATGAGTGTCTAACCCGATCCTCCTCGCTGCTCGCGAGCGATACGTCACTTCCGGCGGGGGATGTAAGGTAGATGTCTCTTTCCAGAGTGCGTTGTGCGGCCCAACCCTCACACATGTTTCGTCACATGACCTTATCAAAGGGTTACATTAAGCTTGCAAACTGTCCCGGATTTGCCGGGACAGTCAGGCTTTTTACTAAGCTATCCTGGGATGGCCCAGAACCTGGACTGTGCCCTCCTGATCCCAGTATTGTGCCCTCTGGACTCCCCTGTACTCTGCCCTTTGTGTTGATCAGTCTTTAATTGATGTTTAATTCTATCAGCTATTTATACTTTCATTCTTGAGATTAGGTGTGTAAATTGGGGCAGGCTGGTAAGGGCCCCAGTGCATTGCTTTTCCCAGGGGCCCATTATGCTATTAAGATGGCCCTGCCACCTTCTGGTCACACCTGACCAGAAATTGGCTAGGGTTCCATAAATATTCAGGCTGAAAACTCTGTCCTTTCTCCTGCTATAGTCTAGAAATCTCTAGAAGACTTGGTCTGACTCTTCAGAGTGGTGCTGATGGCCTACTGGTTCTTCTGCACTGGACAATTAAAAGAGAAATTCTAAGTGCCCATAACTGCTCATGTGCATGCTTGATCATAGGTTAATGGCAGAAAAAGGAATGAAGCCTGATAGGCAGCTCGCTTACATCTCCCATGATCTCCCATGATACATTTACTTTAAAGTATATCTTAAAGTGGTTGTAAACCCTTACATATACCCAGTGAAGTGACTGGCCTCAGGTGATACACAGATGAAACAAATCCACCTACATAAATTATACCAGTCTGTCTGCAGTCTTCTCTACGTCCATTTCAGGTGCAGAATTTACACAGGATCTCAGCTCTTAAAATCAGAGGGCAGGGAACTGAGGTTACATCAGTGAGTAGAGCTCTGAGAGCTGATTGGAGGGAAGGGACACCCCCCCCCCCACTTCACACAGCACACAGAAACAGAGCTGATGCTGTCAATCAAACACTCTGCCCTCCCAGTCACCATTTTTCTCTTGGTGTCAGAAACACTTGTCAGTGACTCAAGCAGACAGCAGAGGAATGAGGCAGCAGACAGATATGACACTTAGTGCTTTGTATTGAGACATGTACACAGTATAGAGGAATAAGCTTTCTTCATATTTCATGTCTGAAGTTTACAACTACTTTATGCCAAAGCTTTTTCTATATTTGTGGATGGGTTAAAACACTCATCTTTTTTCTGCTGATTTGTGTCCAACAGAGGGGATTTCCCTTTACTTCCTTTACGGTGGATACAATAAGTAATAGGAAGCTCATAGCGAACCCCAGACTGCGCACATGCAGCTTAGCTTACAGCAGCCTGCCTGATTCCTGTGTGTTGGAATGCACAGGAGTGACGTCCTCCCGTAGCAGCTAGTGAAGATGGCCAAAAACCAGCACACAGCAGAAGTTTCCGATGCTGTTTGGAACTGTTGGAAAGGTGAGTTTTAACCCTTTAGTTCTGTTTTAACAAGAGATTTCAAATAAGAGAAGTTCAATGTTAGGATTTACACACACTTTAAAAATTGAAACTAAGATAGGGATTGAAATTAGTACCTAGTATACCAAGAATGTTGGCTGTAGAGCAATACGTAGGTAATCACAGAGATTAGAGGGAAGAATTATTACAAGTGAATAAAAGAAATAGCCTTGCACTTTACATACCAGAGTTTCTTATAAATGTAGGCTTTGAGTTAAAGCTCCTTTTTTTTACATTTTTCACCAGTAACACACTATATCTATTATATATTTTTTACCAACTGTCTCTCTATTGGAAGCAAATCTCTCTGTCACTCTTTCCTCCTCAGTCGACCTTCTTTTGTTGGCCTGATATATAGACCTATGTATATGTGATCATATATGAGGCTCTGTATTTATTTAAATTTTGAAAAAAAAATTTTTCAAGCGATTTTTTAAATTTGATAATATTATAGCACAAGAGTGCTGATTATAGAATGGATTTACTAGTGTTGAAAACAGAGCTTCCTGAATTTATATGAATATATAAAAAAATAAATATATAGATGTGCAGGACGTTGCTTTTGTATTTATTTATGAAACATTTGTCTACTTTATATAATATAATCCACTTACCTATCGCCCTATAGCAGATATACTGCTACAGGGCGGCTGCTCTGCGCAAAACCACGCAAATATACCTGATTTTGCAGATCTGGATAGGGGGCGCGTGCGCACACAGCCCTGCACACGCTGCCATTGGTTGCATTAATCATTGGGTCCCGGCTGGCGATTCTCAGCCGGTATTTAATGATCAATGCTAAAGCTGAGAGGGGAGAGATCTGTGTGTAAACAACACAGATCTCTCTCCTATCAGCATGGACATGCTGCTTTCTCTCTCTCTACACAGCAGAGAGATACAAAGCAGAATGTCTCCCTAGTAAAACAGCACACAGTGTAAGCACAATACAACACACAGTTAACCCTTTGATCACCCCAGATGTTAACCCCTTCCTGCCCAGTGCCATTAGTACAGTGTCAGTGCTTTTTATTAGCACGGATCACTGTATTAGTGTCACATCAGTGGCCATTAGTCAGTTCCCACCCAGTGACAGAATGCCTGCCGCAGTCCCGCTATAAGTTGCTTATCGCCACCATTATTAGTATAAAAAAAATAAAAATTACAGTATATATACCGTCATTTGTAAAATCAAAAATATTGTTTTTTATTCAACATTTTTTTTTTGTTTATCGTGCAAAAAATAAAAAAATGTAGAGATGATTAAATACCACCGAAAGAAAGCTCTATATGTGGGAATTTATGTACAGCATTGCATGATCACGCAATTGTCAGTTAACCCCTTCACGCCGGCGCCTCCCGGCCCTTTAAGAGTTTCAGAAGCCGGAAGGCGGGGCGGGGTTTAGGGTCATGTGACCGCCTTGATGCGTAGTCATGGTGGTCACATGATCGGGAAGGGTCCCGATCGAAAGAGGAGATCGGGACCTTTTCGTGAGTACCGGACATGTGTGCTGCGCTCTCTGCACATATGTCCTTTTTTAATAGAACGCAAATGTGCGGCCGCTCGGCGTCTAGGCCCAGACACTGGGAGGCTGCACATTTGCGTTCGGCCGGCGTGAAGAGGTTAAAGTAACGCAGCGCCTTATCGCAAAAAATGGCCTGGTCAGAAAGGGGGGGGGGGGGGAAATCCTCTGGAAGGCAAGTGGATAATTTAGGGTTTGGTGGTTTTTGTCTGTTTATGAAATGCGAATTATGTGTTATGTAGCATGATTGGCCTTTTGTACAGCCATTGATTAGCAAGTGTGACGGTTTCTTTCAATAGATAGAATGAACTGATAAATGAATTAATTGAATGAATAGATAGTTATAATGTATTGATCTCTTGGCTCTACAATAAGATTACTATTGACTGGTAATATGATTTCACATATTTTTGGTTCTGAAGTGACTGGGAAAAGGTTGTGAAACCAGAAAGATTTAGGGCCCATTAACACTATAGGTTCTAGTATTATAATTGCTGTCCGAATGTCTCAAGCAAAATACTGCAATCATCTGTGCTGTGATTGGTTCCTCTGTATCTAGGCGACCTTGGAACAGGGACCATTTGGAAACTCGGGCACTGCCCGAGGGCCCGGGGTCAGTAGGGGGCCCCATGAGATGCCCCCTGGTACCATTTTCATAGGCTTTTTTGAGTTTGGGCAAGGACACAGGGGCCCCATGATTCCTTATTGCCCGGGGGCCCCATGAGTTGTCAGTCCGCCCCTACCTTGGAAGGTTCTGGGTGAACAGGAGTGACTCATGCAGATTAGCAGCATGAATATAGATGCAGTTCCAGACTTTTACAGGGAGTGGTGCACTTGAGCATGCTGGGTGCTAGTATTTATATTCAGCAAGCACATGTGATCTGGGTTCTTCTTCCTCTTCCTCTGAGAAGGGAGTTCCAGCCAGGAAGCCGGCTGCCTCCCCTGGCTCATGCTGCCAGGAGGCCTCAGGTGGTTGACACGAGGGCCAGAATGCTGAAACCCAGAGTGCTTCTGAGAGCTGACTGAAGGGGATGTCTACAGATCCTATCTGATATCATGGAGGAAGGTGACCTGCAGCAAGGGCCTTGTGAGTACAGACTGTTCTATGGATGGATGCTGGTACTTGTGCCGTTTAATCCCCTCAGTATCTATATAGTCAGCTGCTGGGTGTAAGCTAGATGGGACAATGGCCGGTGTTCAGAAGAACAACTGTCCACTATGTTCTGCATTCCTACATAGGGACTTTACTCCAATCTTTGTACAGTTGGCTACACAGATATATTTAGAGACAGCTGTCCTCAATTGTGCATAGTTTGATTTGGAGTATCCCACTATATCCCTTCCCTATCGGAGTTCTAAAACAAAATAAAAACAGAAACAACAACCCCATGACTGGTCATTGGAGTAACAAGTGGAAGTTGTGTGCACTTGGCTATAGGAAATGCTGTGTGCATGGCAGTAGGAGAAAATCTAGGAGAAAGCCGGGGTAAGATACAAGCGGCTCTTACGGGTGTAGTGCTACTTAGTATATAATGTGCATATACATTATAAACTGTATATATATATATATATTGCCAAAAGTATCCAAATCATTGAATTCAGGTGTTCCAATCACCACCATGGCCACAGGTGTATAGAATCAAGCCCCTAGCATGCAGACTGCTTCTACAAACATTTGTGAAAGAATGGAGCTCAGTGAATTCAAGCGTGGTACCGTGATAGGTTGCCACCTGTGCAATAAGTCCATCCATGACATTTCCTTGCTACTAAATATTCCACGGTCAACTGTTAGTGGTATTATAACAAAGTGGAAGCAATTGGGAACAACAGCAACTTAGCCACCAAGTGGTAGGCCACGTTAAATGACAGAGCGGGGTCAGCGTATGCTGAAGCGCACAGTGAGCAGTATTCGCCAACTGTAGCTAAAGACCTCCAAACTTCATGTGGCCTTCAGATTAGCCCAACAACAGTGCATAGAGAGCTTCATGGAATGGGTTTCCATGGCCGAGCAGCTGCATCCAAGCCTTACATCACCAAGTGCAATGCAAAGTGTCGGATGCTGTGGTGTAAACTGGATTCTAGAGCAGTGGAGACGTGTTCTCTGGAGTGACCAATCACGCTTCTCTGTCTGGCAATCCGATGGGAGTTTGGCCGTTGCCAGGAGAACAATACTTGCCTGACTGCATTGTGCCAAGTGTAAAGTTGGGTGCAGTGGGGATTGTGGTGTGGGGTTGTTTCTCAGGGGTTGAGCTTGGCCTCTTAAGATGTCAGCATACCAAGACATTTTGGACAATTTCATACTCCCAACTTTTTAGGAACAGTTTGGGGATGGCCCCTTCCTGTTCCAACAGGACTGCACACCAGTGTACAAAGCAAGGTCCATAAAGACATGGAGGAGTGAGTTTGGGGTGGAGGAACTTGACTGGCCTGCACAGAGTCCTGACCTCAACCCGATAGAACACCTTTGGGATGAATTAGAATGGATAATGGAATTAGAATGGAGAATGCATATAGGTAAAACACCTTCAGCCTTTAGAACCACTTTAAATACCTTTTATTTCTTTTTTTATAACTGTTCACATGACCTCTGTTCTCAGCTGAATGAAGGGTTTAGAGAGCTGGGGGTGGAGACTGCAGGGGGGCGTGTCAGCAGCAGGCAGAGAAACAGCAGTACACTGATCTTCCCAGTGATTAGCTGTACAGGGGGTGTGTCAGCATACATCTGACCATTGGAGTAGAGGCAGGCTGTGCTCCCCAGTATAATTACAAAAAGAAAACTGACCACACTGGGATGGATGTGCTTCTATGCCTAGCATGGTCAGTTTGAAATATGAAAGCAGGGGGGCTGGCAGAATCCCCAGGTATTTCACACAAAGGAAGCAATGCAAAGGGAACAGGATACCTTTTCATATAACTAACCCAAGCTTTGCCTTCATCAGGCTGCAGAAGCCCCCCTGGCCCATAGGTAATTATCCCACTGTGAGCTTTTCCTATTGAGATCCTTTGCACGGCATTTGTTGAAATGGTAAATCCCAGTACAATTAGGGTTGGGGGGCCCATCTACACCTGCCGTTTCAGTAGTTAGCAGCGCAGCCAGCTGCTGAAAGGATAAAATTCAGAGCCACTTAACTGGTAGCCTGTATCCCCTGAGCCAGTTTAAATGTCCAATTTTCATGTTTGACTGGAATTACCTTTTAACTGTTGATAATTATGCATAATGCTCTTCTATATTGCTGCCTATAAAAAGTTTTGCTCCCAGCTTAGACGGAGTTAAGACAGTTCCTGCAACTTGTCGTTCATACCGAAGCGAGGGTTGTTAGAGTTTCCTGTTGCTGCGATAATCCCTGGACTGTCAGTTCTTTTCTCTCGTTTTGTCACTCCATTCCCAGCTGCATCCCCCGCTCTGTCACTTTGAAAGGGTTGAATACAGAACCTGTGCCTTCCTATTCTCCCGAGAGAGTGTGCATTGAACACTTGTTCATCTTCCAGTGAAGACATTGTCCCGCAGTAGGGGAGCTGCTGACAGCTTGGCAACAGAAGTAGAGATGTGGGGTACAGCGTGTTATTTTTAAAAGGATCAATAGCTAAACTTTACATGAAGTGTAATGTCAATTGTTCATGTTTAATTATACATTTCACGACTTATTAGTTTGTACTTTTCTTTAAATATCCTCTTAGCTTAGTACAGTGAAGCTGTGTTCACTTAAACTGTTCATCTAGCAGCCTGTTTGACCTTCTGCTGCCATCTGTGGGCTGTAACAGAACCATCTAAGGGCTCTGCTTTCTTGTGGGACTTAAACTGTTCAGCCTGTGGCCTGTTTGACCTTCTGCTGCCATCTGTGGGCTGTAACACAACCATCTAAGGGTTCTGGTTCCTTGTGGGACTTAAACTGTTCAGCTAGCGGTCTGTTTGACCTTCTGCTGCCATCTGTGAGCTGTACCAGAACCATTTAAGGGCTCTGGTTCCTTGTGGGAGTTAAACTGTTCAGCTAGCGGCCTGTTTTAACCTTCTGCTGCCATCTGTGAGCCGTAACAGAACCATCTAAGGGCTCTGGTTCCTTGTGGGACTTAAACTATACAGCTAGTGGCCTGTTTGACCTGCTGCCATCTGTGGGCCGTAACAGAACCATCTAAGGACTCTGGTTCGTTGTGGGACTTAAACTGTGCAGCTAGCGGCCTGTTTGACCTTCTGCTGCCATCTGTGAGCTGTAACAGAACCATCTAAGGGCTCTGGTTCCTTGTGGGACTTAAACTGTTCAGCTAGCAGCCTGTTTGACCTTCTGCTGCCATCTGTGGGCCATAACAGAACCATCTAAGGACTCTGGTTCCTTGTGGGACACAGAAGGAGGGCCACACCATAAGTAGGATGGTCAGAAGCAGGACCGACACAAGGGGTGGGTGGAAGGGGCGGCTGCCCTGAGCGCAATGGTTTACTATAGGGATGGGGAGACCTTTCTGTTACATGGCTTACAGGAGCAGTGAAGTTGGCAGTGATTCTGACAAGCGAGTGACTGCTGGCCATAGGATCCCCTAAGCTTGTACATCATGGACTGGGAGGGGTGTAGTTTGGCATCTTTGCCCTGGGTGCTGGATGACTGGTCAAAAGTGATTGTCACATGCATGATGGGAGACTGAGATGATGAGGGCAGCCTGTTTCGTATCTCCTGCCCAAACACCCCTGATAGTGGAAGAGAGGGTGCAAAGGGACAGGTGGAACAGGAGTATGTAGCTTGCAGAACCTAAAAGTGGAGATACTGATCAGGAAGGTCCGGCAGGATGTGCAAACAGGAGCATCAGGTAAGGAGTCAGCAGGATAATCAACAGAAGTTAAAAGGGAACTCTGGCTTATGCAAACGTTCAGGATGGCAGAGTTCACAGATGATGGTAGCAGGCGTGTAGCAGGATTATGCAGAGAAGCAAGCAGCTGCATCAGCAGGTTAGGTAAGTAGGCACTTGACAATGGTGTAGATCAGATAAAGAGGCAGAAGCATAGTCAACATCAAGCTGAGGTCAGCAACAAGCAGGCAACAAAGTACCAAATCGGGGATGAAGCCAAGGTCAGGAATGGGTGGAACAGAAGTATGTAGCAGAATCCAAATCAGGTCAGGAGGAGGCCGGTTTAAAAGCAAGGGAGCAAAGAACATACTGAAGACCAGTCAGCACTGGCATTGCATTAGAACCTCCCTTAAAGAGTAACTCCACATTTGTTGAGAAAAAAAACATTCCCTTCTTTGTGGTCTATGTACATTGCCAGGACTTTAACAAACTTTGTGGCAGATTCCTACCTTCTGTTATTTTGAAGAAATATCTGTTTGTCTGTGTCCATTTGCAAAGTGAATGTGAATGGGGTGAGTGATTTTATAATTATCAATCAGCTGCTGCACTTTCAGGGTTCTAATGAGTAAAGTGGCAGTGTCTGCATCCCTTTAGACATGATTTCCTTTTGGGAGTATCTAATCAAAAATGAAATTTTTGTTGCTGGGGATGCCTAAAATCTGACTTGTATCTTGGTGCTGACTTCTGGGAAAATCAGTAAGCCAATCAAACAAGCAGGAAATTACTTTTCTGGGGGAGAGTCTGTGTACAGAGCACCTCCAAGTAGCCATATTGCATTGCATTTTACATAAAATTACTGCACACTGCAGATTGAAAAGGAAAAGTAATGTTTTATAACATTCAATTACAATATGACTTGTGTATCAGTTGTATATATGTTTTTTTTATTTGCTATTTTTTTCTCACAAAAGTAGAGTTAGTCTTTCACTACCTGCCGAGCGCAGATAGCCGAATGACGGCTGCACTGCGGCCGGCCAGTTCTGAGTGGACGTCATATGACGTCCTCCCAGAACGCACTCTCCTGCGCGCCCCAGGGGGCACGCACCCGGCGATCTCCGTGATCGCTGTGTCCTACAGACACAGCTGATCACGTGATGTGGTAAAAGGCCAATCACAGCGGCCTTTTACCACGTGATCAGCAGTGTCCAATGACACGCTGATCAGAGGGAAATGCAAGTGCCGGTTCTCGGCCTGCACTCACGCTGTCAGATCATGAGGAAAGTACTGCTGAGAACCGGCAGTTGTCAGAGCGGGGATCGGCACCGATCATCAGGGCACTGATGATCAGTGCCCTGATGATCGGTGCCCAGCAGTGCCACCCGCAAGTTCCGCCCACCTGTGCCCAGCAGTGCGCCCACTAGCTCCGCCCACCTGTGCCCAGCAGTGCACCCACCTGTGCCCAGCAGTGCACCCACCTGTGCCACTCTGCAGTGTCACACACCTGTGCCCAGAAGTGCCACCTACCTGTGCCCAGCAGTGCCACCCACCTGTGCCCACCTACCTGTGCCCACCAGTGCCACCCACCTGTGCCCACCCACCAGTGCTGCCCACCAGTGCCACCCACCAGTGCAGCCCAGCAGTGCTGCCAGTCAGTGCCACCAGTCAGTGCCCAGGGGTTGTGCCAGTCAGTGCCGCCAGTCAGTGCCCAGCAGTGATGCCAGTCAGTGCCGTCTATCAGTACCCATCATCAGTGTCACCTATCAGTGCCGCCTATCAGTGCTGCATATTAGTGCCGCCTATCCGTGACACCTCATTAGTACTGCCTATCAGTGCCCTTTAGTGCTGCCTATCAGTGCCCATCAGTGCCGCCTATCAGTGCCCATCAGTGCTGCCTCATCAACGCACATCAGTGAAGGAGAAAAAATGCCTGTTTGAAAAATTTTATAATAGAAACAAAGAAACTTTTTTTTTTTTTTTTTCAAATTTTTTGCAATTTTTTTATTTATAGCGCAAAAAGTAAAGCGCCCAGTGGCGATTAAATACCACCAAAAGAAAGCTCTATTTGTGAGAAAAAAATGATCAAAATTTCATATGGGTACAATGTTGCATGACCGCGCAATTGTCAATTAAAGTGCGGCAGCGCTGAAAGCTGAAAATTGGCCTGGTAAATAAGGGGGTATAAGTGCCCGGTAGGCAAGTGGTTAAATAGGCTGTCTGGCTCCCATGCTGACTTTGAGCGTGCACACACATCTGCGCGATTCTTGCACACAAGTGTGCCTAGCTAATATTTGTGCAGAAGTATGTGCTTGTGCATGCCCATGTACATTTTTCCAAGCCAACTGGCTAATAGGAATTTCCTGAAAGAGATGCTTTATTAAATGATCAGTAAACAAAATCCAATGCGTTTTGGGGTTCAAGAACTTCCCCTCCATCAGGGATGGTGTATTGCATCATTTCTTTTGTTGCTGAACCTATTTGCAAAGCAATACGACCTTCATGTTGTACAAACTGCTATTGGCAGAAATGTGTTATACGATATACAACTATTGTTTCTTTTAATTTG